CAAAAAAAAAAAAAAAAAAAGCATTTTGTGAGTTCACACGTTCTAGATAATCAGTGTGACACCCCGTCGTCGGTTGTTTTTTTCTCTCAGTGGTTTGGGGACTAGCTAAACAGCAGTGCAAGGGAGACTGTTTTCTGAGGAATCCATGAAAAGAGGCAGGCATTCAGTTCACGGCAGAGGTGACTGTGCTGTTCCTTTAGGAACTTGACTCTCAGGGGTGTCATGACGTTGTCCTCAGCGTGAAGCCCGTCTAGGCGTGTCGTGGGGAAGACTTTAAGATAAGTAGTCCTGTTCACTTGTGTTTTAGTACATTGGAAAAGTACGAATAGAAACTCAGGTTTTGAGATACCACCTCAGCAAAACTGCTGGGATACAGTGGTTGTTTTCCGGTATTTTTCCTTCTTTTCTTTAGTTCTGGGGTAGTGCTAAGATTTTCCGCTTTGCACTGTAGATGATAAGGGTCTGTGAGTTGGATTAATAGACTGAGAAACTGTATAAAAACTCACAGGGTGGGATTTACCAGTTTCTTTCCATAGCTGTATTATTCATGCATGTTCAATTTTTAGTTTTGAGCAGCTTTGTAATAAAATCCTGAAGCAGATGCCTTTTCTGACAATTAGTTTCTGTGTGATTTCCAATTTAAAAATCAGATATTCTATTTTTCTAGAAGAATCTAACAAGACATGTGACAGCAGTAACACTAGTGCTGCCGCTACCTCCATCCAGCCTAATCTGGAAAACAGTAACAGCAGCGGTGAACTAAGTTCTTCCCCGAGTGACTGCGCTAAGGCAGCTGACGGCCCTGAGAGCGGAGAGAGCGAGGCCCACACACCTGTCTCTGTTCAGGAAGAGATAGGTAAGCGCACTCCAGGTCCACTAAAGGGCGCTTTTTCTTTTCTTTTTTTTTTCTTCATATTTTGAATTTTTTAAATAAAAGTTTGATGGGTGTGGGTTAAAATTTTCTTTTCATGTTTTTGTTTTTAACACAAAAAACACTTGAATTCACTGCTTTTATTTAAAAAAATATAAAAGTACTTGGAAAGAAAAAACCAAACATGTTCTTTTCCTCCCTGTCCTCAAGTGTCACAGCATCAGGGAACAGTTTGGTGTGTAACATTATAGGTCTTTTTTCCTTGCAGGTTCCATTAATGTGTGTATGTTTACTCAGGTCTTTTGGAATTTTTTTTTTTTTTTTTAAACAAATAGAATCATTCTGCATGTATTGTTCTAGATAGTTTTTTTTAACTCAGTAACATGGTAGGGGATCTTTTCATTTTATAAATTCAGTTTATTTAACTGCTGCATGATACTTTATTATTACAGATTAACATCTTCAGCTTGTATTTCTTTGTGTACTTGGTGTGTTTCTGGAGTGTAGGACCAGTAAATGATAGATCCATTTTTAAAATAGCATTGGCTGTTGCCTTGTTATATATCAAAAAGGATTTACATCAATTATTCACGTGTCTGTTTCTGTCTTCTTATACCTAAATTCATTAACACTAAATCTCTGTACTTTGGCCTGTTTCATTTAAAAATTTGTATGCCCCTGCTTAGCAATCCGGTTGAATTTCTTTGTGTTTATTGAGTTTTCTGTGAATTGATTATTTGTATCTCTAGTACGGTTTTCTATTCTTTATTTTTTTAGTAAAAAAATTCTTAGTTTTAAGAATGGTTTATACATTATGGTATTAATTTTTGATTTTACATGTATTTATATAGAAGTTGTTTTTAACTCTGCTGTTTGGTTGTATAAAACTTTTGATAGTTTTGAGTTTCTGGATGGCTCTGGGATTTGAGTTTCATTAAAGAAGACCATCTCTCCCAGGAGTATATACATTGTTATAGTAATTTTTCATGATACTTCTAACTCTGCTTTTAATCTAATTTTCTGTCTGGGATGAACTGGAGATCTATTTTAATCACAATTTTCGAAACTCCCGGTAACCTAGCCTAAATGAAGAGTTATTTTAATTAGCTGATGTAATTGTATAGCTGAGCCGCCATTGTCAGGCTTACCTGGGCCCCCAGGTGTAACGGGCTCTTTCCGTCTTCCTCTCTCTCTCACCTTTGGATCTGCATATGTTTGTTTTAATTTCATTCTCTCCTAATGCAAACAGGGTTTTTCCAAGTGGCAGGAAAGATGGCACGAGCAGTTTCTGTTCATATCTTTTCAAGGCCTGTGACCCAAAGGCAAGGCCCCTACTCCTGCTCCAAATCAAAAGTCCTTGAGGAAGGAATTTGAGTAACCTATCTTGGATCTATTGTTCTCATCCCTGTGGCCAGGGCAGGCAAGGTATTATGACTGGCTCCTGCGAAGGATATGTGGAGTGGGGTAGGAATGGTTTTTCAAATAAAGAGGGATTCTGTGCAGAAGCCCTGCGTAAGTGTCCCCACCGCCGTCCTTGGATAGCCCAGCCCATACATGTGCACTCACATTGGATGCCTTACGTCCCCTTGTCTAGCGTCCGACGCAGATCTCACCCGCAGCTGGAAGCCTCTGAAACCTCTGTCCCACAGTTACACCCAGTAATTATAATTGTATCTCAACCTAAACCTAGGATTTCTGTATGTTTTGCATTAATTGTAGCAGGCCTGGGTATGGCTTACCCTGATCTCACAGTCTGAGAGCCAAATTATGAGTTCAGCCTCTCTCACAGTAGAGGATGACTTGAGTGAGAAGTCAGAGGAGTGAGACCTGGACTAAGTGGTATGCCTGATGTCTGTAGTAGTGTACATTATAGATGGTTGCAGGAAGTAGCCACTGCAGACCAGTATCTTGACATAAAACTTCAGCCCGTGCAGTCATAACCTGAGACACAAGGGATAACTGATGTCCAACCACCTTTACTTCTGAACACCCAGGGCTGCCAGCTTTCCAGTCTGACCTGACAAGACTCAGCAACCGCGCTGCATTTTCATTTATTCAGTGCCGTGGTTTTGTTTGTTTTGTTTTTTTTTGCAGAACCAGGGATTGAACTCAGGCCCTTGTGCTTGCCAGGCAAGCACTTATTCTACTGAACTATCTCCTCGGCCCCAGCGCCATGTTTTTGAGTCAAAAATCTTAAAATATTCTACTAGATTACTAGGACTTTGTGATTTTGACTGAAACCCATTATTGAGGGCTGGGAGATAGCTCAGTAGAATAAGCACATTTCTGGTAAGAGCAAGGGCCTGAGTTCAATCCCCGGTACCCAAAAAAAAAAAAAAAAGGAAAAGAAAAGAAGAAAAGAAAGAAACACATTATTGATACATTTCAAAAGAAGAGGGGGCCGGGGAAATGGCTCAGTAGAATAAGCGCTTGCCTGGCAAGCACAAGGGCCTGAGTTCAATCCCCAGTTCTGCGAAAAAAAGAAGCTACGTGGCTGGCTCATGACAGCCTCAGGGGCATTGTTAGGTCTAGGAAGCTGAGGGTGAAGTCTGTTCTCTGCCCCTCTTCCTCTCCCTTGCTGTTTCCCTCTCTCTCCCCTGCTCTGGGCTTGCTGTTCCCTCTTAGTGACAATTTTCTCCATGTTGTGGAAGGAGTGGTCAGCCCCTAATTTATACCCTTCCTGCTCATGACTGAAACAACAGAAAAACCCTTTCTCCATCTCCCAAGTCACCCATGGAGTAGGATGCTGCCCCACCGGGCCTCACCGCCAGTTCCTGGGGCAGCTACTGTGCTGGAAGTGGCCTGCGCTGCCTGGCCCGTGGGTCATGTTGTTGACCCTAAGGCACAAGTTACTTTAGTTATACCCCTGGCAGAATCATGACTAAAGGGTGGGGGCTCCCCAAAGGAAGAGGGTCATGACATAGTAAATCAACAAATATTTACTAAATTCTCACCTCCCCACAAAAAAATGCACAGCCAGTTTTCCAAAGCCTGCCTTTATTCTCTATTCACTTAAAATGCCATCTTCACAATATACAGTGTAGTAAATCCTTTGTCCTTTCATTTATACCAGTAGCACACTGTGTTAGTGGGTTTTTAAACCTTTAAATTAAAATAAAAAGTTGATCTTGTTTAGCTCTTTGGCCAGGGAATTGGACTGTAGTTTTAGTATGTAATATTTTTGGCCAATATGAGTTTCATGTGTATACAAAGAGAAAATGCTCCTGGGGTGTTGAAACATCTAAAAAAATTAAATTACTGTAAGTCAAAACAAAAAGCAGATTTTTACTGTATTAAAAAAGCTCACTTGGGCCGAGCAGATGGCTCAGTGGAATAAGGGCTTCCCTGGCAAGCACAAGGGCCTGAGTTTAATCCCCGGTTCCGCAAAAAAAAAAAAAAAAAAAAAACTTAGTTGAATTTTACATTAGTAAATTTACACAAATAACTTCTCTAGGGGAAAATTCACTTAGCGCTTATGTTTATAAAGTCAAAACTGTTAGATATTTCAGAGGATATATTTCTAAAATTAATATTCTTTTAATACAGAAATCCCTTTAAATATGTAAGGCAACATTTTATTAATGTACATTTTGAGTATTTATATTTGTTATTTGTAAATTTGTTGCAGCCCTCCTGTCTAATAGATAAATTTCAAAAAATAACCTTACTTTTTTTTTTTTGGTAAAATAATGACTCATAAGCTTCTGAAATGTTTTCTTTTAAAATAAAACACTTTAAGAATTAATGATGTTTGCTTTTGCTGTTCAAGGACCTTACCTGTTTGCTTTCTGAATCTTAGATGTACACCACATAGGAGTTTTGGATAAATAGGATGTTGTTCTTATGTCATTGCTGTGAGCAATTTCTTTATGGCCTTTTCATTTAATAATAGGTGATTTCAGGTCTGAGAAGTCTACTGGGGAAGTCAGTGATTCTCCTGGAGCTGGGAAGGGAGCGTCGGGCTCAACTCGCATCATCACCAGATTACGGAACCCAGACAGCAAACTCAGCCAGCTGAAGAGCCAGCAAGTGGCAGCTGCAGCCCACGAAGCCAATAAGTTATTTAAGGAGGGCAAAGAGGTTTGTTTTTTCTGTTTAAAACAAAAGACCCTGGACTAGGAATAATTCTAAGCCTACCTGTACAATGAGGGTGGAGATTGATGGACCTAAGAGTGTACTGGATACGGTGGGTAAGGGTTGAGCTGCTCTGGACGCGCATGTGTCTGTTGTGCGTAGAAGCGCTGGAAGCGGGTGACGCAACAGGACTGGCTTTATTATATATAGTTGTAAAAAGAGAAAGCCTTCTTTTTCACATACAGTAACAAGTGGACTATTTGTGGGCTTTTATCAAGAGCTCCATATTGTTTGCCGTGATCACCTCAGTAAACCTGCAGCTTGTGGGATAGGGCTAACCCATGAAGCACAGCGCAGCTCTCGGTTCCGTTTGTGCATAGGAGCATCAGAGCTGGGACTCCACCGCGGTACTTTCCCTCCCTCTGGTGACAGAAGAGTGGCCATGAATGTGTCCCTCATGGATAAGCAGGCATACACAGTGCTCTTTTCACAGCGTCAGGCAAGGCACTTTAGTCACCACCTTTTTTCTTTTTTGTGCTGTAGTGAAGATTGGACCAGAGCCTTCACACTCAGCTAGGTCTTCAACTGTTTTTCTTTTTACATTTTTAATTTATTTTTTAATGTTTTATTTTCAGACTGGCTCTTATTATTTCATAAGTTTTCTAGGCTGAACTTGAATCTGCAGTCCTCTTGCCAAAGTGCACACCGTGTCTGGCTTACTATTGGCTTTTTTTTTTTTTTTTTTTTTTTGCAGAACTAAGAATTGAACTCAGGCCCTCGCACTTGCCAGGGAAGCGCTAATTGTACTGAGCCATCTCCCCAGCCCCTACCATTGGCTTTTAAATGCCATTTTGACTCTGACCCTCACTAAGATAAATACTTCTTCCTAGCAGCGTGCACCATATACTCAAATGTTTCCTGAACTAGTACATACTTTACTACAACAGAACGATTCTGCTATTTTCTCTTATAATGTATTTAGTCTATTTTCCTTTTTTGTTTTTGAGACAGGGTCTCACTGGCCTTCATCTGAGTATGTAACCCGTGCTGGCCTCGAACTTGTATTTCTCCTGCCTCAGCCTCTCAAGTACCAAGGTCCTAGGCATGTGCTACCACACCCAGCTTTTTTTTTTTTTTTTTTTAAGTTAAATAAGACTCACTATTTATTTTATAATTCACTAAAGGGTTGGGATTAATTTCAAAAACATTCTGAAGTATCCATGTGTTCTTACACTAATGGTAGCATGAAATAAGAGCAGAATTATTTTGTAAGAGTAGATTGTAGTACACATAACGCTCTCCCTCTTGGTTTCCCTAAAGAGTGAGTCAGGAACTTGATAGAATGATAAGTAAATTATATATAGTACACATATTTTCATGGATATATTTGACAATCATGTAAGTAGGAATTAGTGGGCTTGGGGATGTAGCCTGGTGGCAGAATGCTTGCTAGCATGCCCAGAGCCTGAGTTTGATCCCTAGCACTGAAAAATAAATTACTTAGTAGTGTCTTAACATAATATTTAAGAAATACTAGTTTTCTTTCTTTGTGCAGGTATATCTTGGATGTTTAATTGTAAGCATCTTTCACTTTTAGCTGAACATTTTTTAATTTCAAGCAGTTCAGTCATACGATGTACTTTAACTTATTTGAGATATAAATTATAATTACTGAGAGACATCTGGCCAGATAGTTTTCACCTTTCGCTGGATTACGCAGTCCTTCTTTTTCCTGTTTAGGTCCTTGTAGTTAACTCTCAAGGAGAAGTCTCCCGGCTGAGCACCAAAAAGGAGGTGGTCATGAAAGGCAGTATCAACAACTACTTTAAATTGGGCCAAGAAGGAAAGTATCGTGTCTACCACAACCAGTACTCCACCAATTCATTTGCTTTGAATAAGCACCAGCACAGGGAAGATCACGATAAGAGAAGGCATCTTGCACATAAGTTCTGTTTGACTCCAGCAGGAGAGTTCAGGTGGAATGGTTCTGTGCATGGGTCCAAAGTCCTCACCATCTCCACTCTGAGACTGACCATCACCCAGCTAGAAAACAACATCCCCTCACCCTTCCTGCATCCCAACTGGGCTTCACACAGGTAAGAGAAAGGTCGATTTATTGCTGTAAATATACTGTATACTTAACAGAAGTGTTACAGCAGGCACGCACCTACGTTTTAAATGTCGTTACCAGTGAATTAAGTGGAATCACTTTGGCCAGCAAACAGTGATCGAGGTAGAGACTCTTGTGTGATTCTCAATTACTGGGTCACCAGTGCATTTGGATGATTTATGGAAGTCAGTGTGCCCCTGCAATTCTGTAGGGACCAAAGTTACAGAACATCATGGAAGATAAAGGAATGGGAAAGCCCAGCACCTCTGGAATGTCCTGCGATTGTTTAAAATGTGTGACTGTAAACTAGAAACATCGAAGAGTGTATAGTTGTACCTCTTGTCTTAGACGTTTCTCACATATATCCGAAGATGGATTCATCATAAATCACAACAGTCATACTTTTACTTTAAGATGAACCAAGGAAATAATTTCCTTTTTTCCTGAAATACAGAGCAAATTGGATCAAGGCCGTTCAGATGTGTAGCAAACCCAGAGAATTTGCACTGGCGTTAGCTATTTTGGAGTGCGCAGTTAAACCAGTTGTGATGCTCCCGATATGGAGGGAGTCCTTAGGACACACCAGGTGAGTGAACGCTGAGCCTGTCAAGACCAGCATTGAGCTGTTTTTCTTTTTACAAACTGCTTATGGATGAATAATTAAAGTTAATGTGTTTAAGAGGCCATAGACGACTACACTCGGTGGCTTGTTCTTATTTGTGATGCAGAGTTGTAAAGAAGATTAAAAGAGGTCAGGCATATGAAAATAACAGTAGTTTTCAGAGTAAAAGAGTATGTTTAGCTGAGAACAGTGGTGCTTGCCTGTAATCCCAGGTACTAGGGAGGTTCAGGCAAGAGGATCACAGGTTTGGGGCCAATCTGGGCAAATGCAGAAACGCTGTTTCAAAATAAAGTGTGGGGACGGGGAGATGGCTCAGTGGAATAAGCGCTTCCCTGGCAAGCACAAGGGCCTGAGTTTAATTCCCAGTTCCGCCAAAAATAAAAAATAAAAAAAATAAAGTGTGGCTGTGTAACTTGGAGGTAAAGTTCTAGGGTCTGAATTCAATCCCCAGTACTGAGAAGAAGCAAAGAAAGAAGAGGGGGGGAAAAAAGAAAAGAAAGAAGAGGGAGAGAAAGAGGTAGGAAGGGAAAATGGGATTTTATTAGACTAGAAAGAGCACTCAGGCCTTATTTATTTATTTTGTACTGGGAATCAAACTCAGGACCTTGTGCTTGTGAGGCAGGTGCTTGTGCCGCTGAGCTATATCCTGGCAGGATTTTTATTTTCTGGTATGTTTCAGATACTCTGCTAAAGATCTCCCTTACAGTCTAACATCATTTTTTAGATTTCAGAGCCTGACCAAAGATGATACACCTCCCAAGGAAACCCAGAACTGTGTAACTTGTGGGGGTTTCTGTTGTTTTTGTTTTGTTTGTGTTTGTTTTTTGTCTTTTTGAAACAGGGTCTCACTAGTTCAGGCTGCCCTTGAGCTTACCTTGTAGCCCAGGCTGGTCTTGAACTCGCAGTAAACCTTCTGCGTCAGCCTCCTGAGTGCTGGCACAACAGTATATACCTTGAGCAGATGGTTTAAAAAAAAAAAAAAAAAAAAACATATATTTTGTAACTTGACAAGCCCTAAAGGATTTTCTAAAAGCATCTGGTCAGTCTTGGGAAACATTATGACAAGACTAATTTACAGATATGATGAGCAAAGTGGAAATATTATTAAAGAATATAAATACAGAATCATTCTCCCATCATTTTAGTAGTGCTTACTCTGGTGGCATAACCCTGTAATTTTTAGAAGATAAATTCTTTTAGGGCTGGGGAGATGGCTCAGTGGAATAAGCACTTCCCTGGCAAGTGCAAGGGCATTAGTTCAATCCCCGGTTCCACAAAAAAAAAAAAAAAAAAAAGATAAATCCTTTTGCCTTCTCACATTTTTTTAATCTTTCATTCATTCACTTCTTCGTTCATTTGTACAGGGTGTCACTAAGCAGCTCAGACTCATACTGATTTTGCTGTCTCAGCCTCCCCAGCACTGGGATTACATGCGTGCAGCACCACACCTAGTTTCTGTGGCCAGCGCGGTGCTCCCAGGTTCCAGGGCTGGCAAGGCATGTGGTGCTGGGGCCAAACCTGGGTCCTTGCGCTTGCCAGGCAGGCGCTTAGATGGCGGAGATAGTCCCCGCCCTCACATCTGCTTGCTTGCTTCCTCCTCCTCCTCCTCCTCCTCCTCCTCTTCTTCCTCCTCCTCTTCCTCCTCGTTTTCTATTTTTGGATTTAGTACAGGGTCTGCAGGGCCTCACTACACAGGTCAGACTCGTAGTGATTCACCTGTTTTCAGCCTCCCAAGTTCTGGGATTATAGGTGTGAGCTACCATGCCCAGTCTCAATCACTGTCTCAGGACGCCCCGGCATGGCCCTCTGGGGATTGAACCCTGACCGCTGGGCTCTGCCTAAGCAGGTACTTTAGTCCGCTGAGCTAGTTGGCCAACTGTGATTTATTTTGTAATAAAAACATTATTAAAAATAAATTTAGCCAGGTATGGTGATGCGCCCATGTAATCCCAGCACTTGGGAAGCTGAGGCAAGAGGTTTACTGAGAGTTCAAGGCCAGCCTCAGCTACATAGTAAGTGCCTGCCTCCAAAAAAAAAAAACAAGGGTCAGCCAGGTAGCTCAGCAAACTAAAGGGCCTGCTTAGGCAAGTACAGGTGCCACATGTTGTGCCGGCCCCACCCCCAGGGCATGCTGAGATGGCAACTGAGACTGAGCGTGGTGTCGCACACTGTACTCCCAGCGCTTGGGAGGCTGAAAACAGGAGGATTACTACGAGTCTGATCTGTGTAGGGAACCCTGTGGACCCTATACTAAGTACATTAAAAACAGAAAAATAAGTTCATCCTATGGCTGAAAATAGCATTAAGCCAGGTGCTACGGAACTGTGCTCCATGCCAAAGAAGAGCTGAATGGGTGTGTACCTTTATCAGGGGAATGCCCAGAGTCAGAGAGCGAGGCAGTGCATCCTCTGTTTCTCTTGCTCCTCCTTCCGCTTACCTCCAGACTTGCTCCTCAAGTCATTCTGTCCTGACATCCTTCTAGTCTGTGAGTACCCTGACTCTGACGTGGACCCTTATCTGTGGTGACAGGTGCTTCAAAAACTGGAGCTAAGCTAAGTGTTGCTGAATGAAACTCCCATAATTAGCCAGGTATTGCAGTCCTAACACACAAGGGGACCGAGGAAGGAGGATCACAAGATCAAGCCCAGCCTGGGCAGTACAGTGACTTAGCAAAACCTCAGAATAAACAATAGAAGGGATAGGATTTAACCTTTTGTGAAGGCCCTCGGTTCAATAGCAGGACTGCCAAAAGAACAAACACAAAAAGTAATAATAGCAAAACAAATTCCCATAATTAAATGTAACTTAGAGTTATTAAATTTAAATTACTGAATTATGAACACTCATGGATTTCAAGTATTGATCATTGTAGCAGGTGATGGAATTTAGGTTTTTATTTCCAGTGCTAGGATTACAGGTATGTACTACCACGTGCAGTCTCAGTGGCTGGCTCAGTGTGCCTGTGGGTGGGGCTGGCTCTAGGGTTGGGGATTGAACCCCAGTCCCTGTAATTGCCTAAGCAGGCAATTAGTCCACTGAGCTGTCTTGCCAGCCTGTAATTCAAGTTTTTAAATATCCAGATTTTTTTTCTTTTCTGCTTTGTCATTACAATGGTCATAACATGTTCCTTAGATTAATAAAATCACATTGTAAATTATATTAATGTGGTATCTGGTAATGTATAGAAAAGATCTCTCTTTAAATATGATGATGAAGTAGGACATTGGCTTTTTTAAAAAATTAAGGACTGTGATTCAAGAAAATTAGGAATTAATAACAATGCTTCCGGTTATGTAGCAGTGTAGCAGTGTATGGTCAACTAGAGAAGCAATAAACTTTTAACACATGATCTAAGGAAAACTAGAATGCAAACTAACATTTTTTATTCATGAATAAGCCCAACTAGGTCAGGAGCTGTCTACTCTGTATCTGACAGTAACAGTACTTTTTTTTTTTTTTTCCATAATTTTATTGAGAAACAAATAGCAATGAGACAGTTTCAAACCAAATTGCTAGGACAGTTTCAATAATTAACACATTGCATATATTCTCCCTAGTGGTTAACTGCTGTACAAGATGCGGACATGATATCCTATTTACAAACACCATTAGAACAAATCCCTCTGTTCATTAAGAGAATGTAACTATATATCTATCCTAACCACTTTGAATACACAGATACAAAATGGACATTCATCTGTATCCCCTTTTTTTGTTAAGTTCCGTTATTTGAATATTATAGGTGTGTAAACTCAGCAAAATATTCTAAAAGAGTCCAGTAGCCCATAGTAGTATTGGGTCTTCCCCTTGACTGGCAGTGTCAGAAATTGTTGACCTGAGTCCCCTACAGCTCTACATAACAGCATGGCTTTACTTCTTATACTTCGTTTTTATACTTTTCTGCTGGATGGTTAAGACCAAGGTAAAGCAGGACCTATGCAACAAGAGTTGTAGCTTTTGGCTCTGATAAGGTCAGTGAAATCCCCTCAGGATTTATCCTGAGATCCTGTACCTCAGAGTGTAGAACCTGTCAGTGTCAGCCATGTGGATGAGTCACAGCCATTGCTTGGCCAGTGTGCTCTCTGTGAAAGCCTGAGAGAATGTTTTCTCTCCATGTGACTCTCCTTAGGCACACTCTACATCATCGATCACTTTCCTCTTTGGCCCCATAATCTCCTTGATCAGAAAATTTGGGACACTACTGAGTTATATGATGTTACAGTACAAGTTCTCCTATATCCTGAGTCTTAATTGACCTTAGAAGGCTAGGGCCAAAATGTTGGCTTTCCTTGCGGCCCTCCTTTTTCTCTAATTTTGGTTTGCAAACAGGTTGTTAATCATCCAGAAGACAAGCTTATTGTTACTACCATACAACCTAGGCTGTTAAGCTTAATTTCACTATCTGAATATCAAACATTTTAGGCATAACATGGAACAGGTATTTTTCATCAAGTATTGATATGTTGAATTTTAAGTCCCTTCAGAATATGATGAAAAAACATTTAAAAATTAGAATATATTTTAAAAAATAGGCATAAAGAATTATATACTTCTTATGTTTACACATAAGTCCAAAAATCTAACCATATACAACCTTGAAGCAGGACAGTCCCACAATATTCCTTTTCCTGTCTCTTGCCTTCATCTACCACCCCCTTTTTTTTGAACAATAACAGTACTTTTTATTTATTTATTTTTATTTGTTTTTGTCGGAAGTGGGGATTGGACTCAGGCCCTTGTGCTTGCCAGGGAAGCGCTTGTTCTACTGAGCCATCTCCCTGGCCCTTGAACTGTACTTTTTCAATAATTAAATTATGGCCTAGAGAGAAAAGTCTTGTCTAATAAATGATACACATGTAAGATTTTTATGTTACATCTGTAACCTATAGTGGATAGTAATACAAATGCCTGTGCGTTTACCACCCAATTTAAAAATAAGGACATCATGACATGTCAGCTCTTTG